GCCCGCCTGGGACTGGCTGAGTCCTCTGTCCCATCCCAGTGGGCAGCAGTGGACAATCAGGTCTGAGACAGGACAGCCCTAGGCCTCTGACCAACTAGGCAGGCATCTGTACTTATTCAGCTAAGACCAGTCTGGGCCCTATCGGGCTGCCATGGCCAGTCACTAAGCTGACCATGCTGCTAGGCCTTTGGACAGCTCCTTGGACAGCCCAGACAGCCCCTTGGGATGTTTCAATTTCCAACATCCATGGGGTTGAGACAAGTGCCTCCTCCCTCAAAGCTTCAGCCTCCAAGAGAGGTAAGAAATCTGTGGACATCGAATGTGACCCTGACCACAACAATATTACAGCTGACTGTGGTCCTGCACACCTCGGCTTCCTTGTTGTAACAGACCTCTTCCATTCATGTCTCCCAATGGGCACTTTCACACTGAGTTTGCATGGTCTCTGAGGGCCACACGCATACACGGTCCAGCCCCTGCAGCCTCCCGAAATCCAGCCAGCTGTGCCTTCCTGGCATGATATGATCGTGATCTTTCCACTGCTTCTATGAGCCAGAACTTCCTTATCATTCTAGTCTTTGTCTCTTTTCTTTGTAAAGGAGAGAGAAGAAATTGGAAATGAGCTACTTTGTTCCTTGGGGATGGCTGATAAATGTGCCCGGGGGCAGGCGTGACTGCGGGGCTCCCATCTCCCATGGACATGGATGAGATCTGTGTATCTCCTGAGGGCACGTGGGCTCTGCTGGGCCAGACTCTCACATGCGACTATCCGATGCCCAAGGCAGGACCCCTGAGTTCACCACCAGCAGCAACATTAGTTTCTCAGTAATTGGAATTGCAGTGGAATGGCTTCCTGTTGCTGTGGGAGGATAGCAAGAGCCCTGGACTTGAGGTGGGGCGGGGGGTGGCGGGAGAGCTGCAGCCTGTCACTATGAGTCCCTTTCCTGTGGCAGTTTCAGAAGCAACACTGTGTATAGAGAGCCTGCAAGTCACCACATCTGAGGGCAGTGGGGTACAAACCAAAGATTTATTTTGCTCTAAAAGAGAAAGCCAAAGAGGACCAGACCAAAAGGAACCCAGGTCCGAGAGCAGAAAGCTTGGGTATGGAAAGGCCACAGAGAGCTCTGTAGGAGCCCCACTGTGAAACCCAGGGGGAGCTGAGGAGGTGGGCTGCGGTGGAATCCTGGGCTCTTTTTGGGAACTGGAGCAGAAGGGGCCTTGCGGACTCCAGTCCGGGTATAGCGTTTGTAAGAGGAGCTAAAGACAAGGCTTCTTGGGCAACTTTGCTGCAACAGCCACCCGCCTCCTACCTCCCCGCAAAGCAGTGGTGAGTGGAGCTGTCCGGACAGTTTGGGATCAGTCTGTCAGCTTTGCCCTGGCGGATGGTGTCTCGTCCAAGGCTGGGGCCACTCTCAGTTTCAGAGGGCTGGCCCAATGTGGGCACTTTATGCCCCTGGAGGCCTAAAGGCATATAGGGAAGACCTGGGAACACAATGAAGATTCAGCCAAGGTTCTCTGAAAAGATCCCAAACCCACAGACCACACACACAGTCAGCAACCACCAGCTTCATCTCCCTGACTTCTTCTTCCAGGCAATGGACGGGCACCTACTTGGTGTCAGTCTTCACACTGCCCTTCACCGACACCAACCTCAGCACTTTTCGTCAGCCCTCCTTCCCCTTCATCAATCTCAATCTCTTTTGGCCATTCTCCAATGAGGATCGGTGCCCAATGGCATCCGGACCTTCTACTTTGTCAGCCTGAGACCATTTCTCTTCCCCTCAGCATTGTGGTCCAGCTCTGCCACCTTATAGCCGGCCTGACTTTGGGCGTCTTGTATTGCAGGCCCTTGGTCGGGCTGGGCTGGTTTCGTCTTCTCCACCACTGACACAGTGGACCCCGTGACTACAGGAAACTAGCATATACTTGGCCATCTTTTCACTCATCACTGGCCATTCGGATCTCCTGAGCCCTGTCCTCCCCCAGGGGTGGCACCTGGGTACCTAGGTTTGTGGCCCTGGGTACCCGGAGAGGTGTCTCTGGTTACCTGGAGAAAATGGAATTGAGCTTCAGGGGTTTGTGTGGTGAAAACAGAGGTCACTGAAAAGAAAGGATGGGGTTGATCTGCAGGGGCTGGTATGTGGAAGCGAGGGTCATTGAGGAGAAAAATGGGGTTGAACTACAGGGGAAGGGACAATCCAGCCACCAAGCGTCAACCTGAAAGGACTCAGGCTAGACCAGGCAGTGGCTGGGGACCAGGAGACCCTGTGTATATTCCTGCCTGAAGAGTTTATTTTTTCTCTAATGGAGATTGAAGGGGTGGCTTGGTCCTATGGTTCTAAGCCTGTCCTGGCTACAGGTCCACGAGGAGTAGGACTGACTTCTGGATGGGCGCTGTGTACCATGGGTAGTAATATGCTTATGTTATATTAAAGCGAGAAAAAGTAAACTTTAAAAATAACAAAGGTGTATGTAAATAACTTCTAGTCTCCTACTGCATAGATATTAAACCATCTCTCCCAATTAGGTGTAGACTTTTCCTTAAAAATGTATGAAATATTTAAAGAAGCACCATGTCTGAGCTTCCCTAAGTTTGTCAGCCACTGGCATGGACTATGGGAGGGCGTTTTTGATCATGTCTGACATCTGTCTGTCAGGATGGAAAGCCAGTTTATTTGAATATAACTCCACAAACTCGGCTGAGGATATTCGCATTTAAAGCCACTGTCTGACCCTCAGAAATCAGCGCAGAGAGGGCATCTGCACAGGATGTGAACGCAAAAAAGTCTGAAACCGCAGAGAATTTTAATGAGTTCATTTAGGACAATGTGACAATGCAATGGCCAGGAAGCAAAATGTCAGCGGATTTCTTGAATCTTCAAACCAGGTCTAGAGCAAGACCAGGAAACCACACAAGAGGCGACACCGACAGCATCTCTAGTCCCCTCTACAGAGCCCGTGCCATCTGGAGGCTCAGCCTCCCCTGAAGAAGGCGACGTCCAACAAACAGCTCACTTCGGCTCCTCGGAGGCCTTGAGGGCCTGGTTTTGAGCAGCAGCCTGTTTGACTGCCACTCCAGAAGGTTCTTTCTCTGTTCCTCCTTCTGCATTCTTTTCAATTGTTGTTTTTCTCTGACCTATATAAAGTTTCTCTGTAGATTTTTTTAAAAAGTTCAATTACGATAAAATTTATTTTAACCTAAATTTAATAACTTGCTATGAAATCTTCTTTTAGGATAATAATATCTACCCTGTAATCCCTCATAGTGTACTTTTAAGTGACCTTAAGTACCATCATCAGACTTCACCACTATCAGCCATATCACAACTACCATCTAGTTCCAGAACATTTCCAGCAAACTCAAATCCAGCACTGATTAGTTGCTCACGCTTCCTCCCCCATCAGCCCGTAGCAGTCGCTGACCCCTGTGTTTCCATAGATTTACCTATTCTGGATTTTCAATAAGTGTCCTTAGCTTCTCTGAGTTTCTGGTTCCTTCTTCTATAAAAAGGGGAAGGTTGTAGTGAGGATTATGTAAAGTCCTTTCATACAAAATCTGGCACATAATAAAACTAAATAAATATTGGCTATTAGAATAAAAAAAAAAAAGAGAGAGAAGCCCCGCCCTGTGAGCACACAATGACGCGTATGTGGCTTTTTGTGTCTGACTATGTAGCAGACGAGGAGACTGATTGTTTTTTTGGTTGTAATAAAAATAACATTGTTTATTAAGAAGGAAAATTCCTATGAGGTAAAGATCACGGGTAAGAAAGGAAAGCTCGTGTGAATATCTTCATTACCTTGGGAGAGGTGCCATTCGTATAACTAGGACACAAGAGCCTGAGCCATAAGGGGAATGCCTGAGTCTGAAGGCACTTTAAAAGCTTTCTGTTCCTGGATAGGAAGTGTTTAAATTTTTCTAGTGCACGTAGTAAAAAAAAATATTAAAATCACATGTTAAGTGTTTCCCTTTATTACCAACGCATCAAGTAATAAAATATGATATCTTTTAAAGGTTTTACATAACAATAACTAAAGTCGATTAGCAAAATAAGGATTTAAATATGGACAGAAAAAGGAGATCCACTTTCTCTACCACGAAATAATTGCCTTTCACAAAAGGTCGCCATCAATATCAATGGATGACATATGGTATGGAGTCTCGCTTCGTATGCTCTTTGGCCATTGGTGTATCTTCTTCGGTGAGGTCTCTGTTAGGTTTTTGGCAGTTATATTGAATTTTCAGTGTTCTTCGTATGTTTTGAATGACGATCCTTTACCGCATGTATCTGTTGCAAATAATTTCTCCCAGTCTGTGCCTAGTCATCTCATTCTCTTACAATGTCTTTTGTAGTTTTAATAACATTTAATTAGCTTGTCAATGATTTCTTTCATGAACCGTACCTTTGGCATTCTATCTAAAAAGTCAATGTCGTATTTATGGCAATTTACTTTTTTCTCTCCATTATGTTATGGTTGTTTTCTAGGTTTGTATTTAACACTTAGGTCGCATTTCTATATACTGGTCCCCAACCACTGCCACTAGATTTGTAGGAGACTTGAATCCGAATCTCTTATGATGGCCTAAACCAATCTCTTCAGAACAAATTTTAGAAACTGCCTCAACTTCAAAATATAACCACTGCACCATTGTCTGTAAAGCAATTCATTCACAACATTACTAGCCTAATGTTTGCTAAACAAGAATACTGAGACAGTCACTCCTTCGAAAATTAGAAGGTAACCTCATATTGAATCAGCATTTCCAATGCACTATAGCAAATCTGCGGAAGCTTTGCCAATATAATAAAGTCGCTTCCTCATAAAAGACACACAGATATATTCAGTGCAGCACCTGTGTGAATGGTGCTTCCACTGCCTTAAAAGATGTTGCTGGACAACAGATGAATTCAGTTTTATTAAGGATTACAGTATGGCTGGCTATACATCTGTCCTCCCACAAGGTTTCTCCTTC